TTCTTCTGAATAATCAGACACACGATGTTGTTATATGGCCAGTAGTATACTAGGATAAAGGGCTAACAGATGTGTTAAAATTACTTACATTGACTCATATTTCAGGTCAGAGCGGTCAAATACGTTTAAATTTTTTAACCAACTTCTTCTGAATAACCAAAAGTCCCATGGTGATGATATTTGGCTAGTAGATTGCTTGTATGAAGGGCTACCGAGTTAACTTAAATGAATGACCTTAAAATATATTCAATGTCACAGGGGTCAAATATGTGTAAAATCTTAGCACGACTTCTTCTTAATAACCATATGGCGAAAGATGTTAATATTTTGGCTATTACAATGTTAGGATGAAGGGCTACCAAGTTCATTAAATAAATGACCTTGACTTATATTCAAGGTCAAAGTAAGCAAATATGTTTTAAATCTTTAAACGACTTCTTCTGAAAAAAACATAAGGCGCAGAATATTGACATCTACTTAGTAGCATGCTAGGATGAAGGACTTCCAAGTTTGTTAAAATGACTGACATCGATTTATATTCATTGTCGCAGTGTTCAAATTTGTTTAAAATCTTCTGAATAACCGTGAGGCCCAGAATGTTGATATTTGACCAGTAGCAGGCTTGGATGAAGGGCTTTCAAGTTTTTTTTCAAATTTTTTTTGAATGACTTTGTCCCACTTTCAAGGTCACTTTTTGTCAAATATGTATAAACCTTCAAATGACCTTATCCCAATAAACAAAAGGTCTTGGGTGATGTTATTTGGCAAGTTGCATGCTGAGATGAAGGGCTATAAAGTTTGTTCAACGGTATGACCTTGTCCCACTTTCAAGGTTACAGGGATCAAATCATTTGAAATCTTTTAACAGGTTCTTTTGAATGACTTATAGTTGTAAATACTGAAATTTTGCCTGTAGCTTTTTATATATCGCTGTTAATGTAACAAGTTTGAGCTAAAAACCAAGTGAGCGATGTAGGCCCATAGGGCCTCATGTTATAAAAAAAATGGGTGACGTGCATGTCGAGGGTTTTGTTTACTTAACAGATGGCAAGCTCTATACCGATTATATTTCCGTCTAAGGGTATATGGTTATATATCAATGATCTATGAACATGGGAATCAAGAATTTGAAATTTTGTTCTGCCTTACAAAATACGTCAAGCAAATCACGTAGGTTAAACAACGCATGCCTATTTTCATTTGCATTACTCCGTGCTTCTCAAGGTTTCTGTTATGAACAGCGATCTAAACAAATTGCAACAAAATAATGATATTATTAACATAAATGTATTCAATGAGTGAATACCTGCTAAAAACAATTAACACAATTCCAGCAACCCTTTGCGTAGACATTTCACTGTAGAGAATTTATTTCGTACACCTAAACATCATTTATGTGAAAAGTACAATTTGAAAGTAGAACCATCATTAACTGTTTCTATATTTATCATGCAGTATGTGTAAAGGTAAATCAAATGTGTGATGGTATTGTTTTGCGAGAAATCATTTAAGACCAATTATGATCGTCGTTTGTCAGTGTCATCTGACACGATATATATGAAACACAGTTCAAGAAAAATTATCTGTTATAATCAAAAGGTGTGAATTAAACATGTTTTAAATGCACTTTTTCACTCTCATTGAGTTGGGAGAAACCTATCAGAACACTTAAGGCATGTATTTTTTTTTATTCTTTTGAGCCTTAGTACCTGAATGGACGAAATGGCCGTGCATGTATGATGAAAAAAGGTTAACTTGTTTGGATTTTTTACGTCAATCTTTAATTTGTACTTCGTACTTTTTCACTTCATATTTCGCATTTCTAGTGCAACTAATTCTTACGTGAATATATAGACGATCCGGCCTTAAAAACATTCTATTGGACTTAAGATTAAAAATAATATTTCGTCCTCAGCTGTCAAAGGCCAAAACACTGTGTAGTCATCGATTAAAAAAAGTCTGCTTTATCTAAGAAAGAGAAAATATGTAATTTACAAAGCGGAAAATCAGTTTTGTCAAAACATAAAGATTTCATATTCTATTTTCATAGTTTTTGCAGAATTCTCTCATTTATCATAGCTTTTGCATATTATTGATAACAAGTCGAAATCTATTTGTACAACAACTTTGTCTTAGTCATGATCAATAGTATACTTCTATTTACATAGTGACACTTTATGATTCATAGGCTATAGCTATAAAGATTTTTATAATTTGTTTTTTAATGCAAAAATTGTCATTTATTAAGTGCACGAAATGTTCTTACATTTCCTTAGATTGTTTGACTAATTATCGCTTTTTTAAACAATTATTTGTCAAATGAAAATATAAATGATAACACCAACATCAAAATTCAAAAACAAGGGGTACTGTACTGCAAACCATATACCATCCATATATTGAAATACGACTCGTGATATTTCAATAAATGCTTATATAGACATCTAAAATATGATAGTTAATTTTACTATGTTGATAAATGTTAGGATGATTTGCATACACGAATTGAATTAGTTAAACAATTCATATCTGTGTGACCTGACATGACGTATACTATACACGATAGTCCGTAGGGGTCACACAGCAGGGAAGACTACATGATAGGGATATGTATATCAAGGCTACTGATGACGATGTGTTATCGGACTAATGACATATAATATGCCTGTTGAGGTCATTGAACTGTTTGCTTAACCTGGTGGGATTTTATCTACGTAAATAATGAGATTGCTAAGATCATACGTCATTTACGGGGATAAATCGTAATAGAAACAGGTGATTAGCGGTCCACATATGAAAATGAAAAAGTATACACATAAAATAAAGATGAAAAACCTCTACTAAAGCGTCATGATTTTTTAATGTTTTTATCGACCCCCCCCCCCCCCCCCCCCAAGCAATGTTTCAAGAAAAAGGTTTAAACCAATTTAGATTTCTAGCTTTTTTGCCCATAGCAACACCGATGAGTCCTTTACGAACAAATAGATGCAATCCCAGGTGTGTGTCCCATACGTTCACCATTCATAGGTTGATTCACCATCATGTATGTAAAATAAAGATAGCTATTTAAGGCATTCCTATGCAGGATCACCATAATCAGTATCACATTGATATTGACAATACTTAATTTTATATCTCCACTCAACATTGAAAATGTTTTTTAAGTATATACTCTAGCTGGTGATATTTCTATCTACATTACGAGATTATTCTTTTGTTCAAAACCATGTCATATACATCTATATAGTATTATGGCGTAGATGGAAGAGAAAACGTATTCCATGTACAAATGCATGCATAATACATAGGACAAGGATGGTTCTTTATATGTCAAAAATAGATCCGATTAGAATTTACTCATGTATTGTATTCCCTATGACACACGTATCTGCAGTAAAGACGCCCAGCCTCGTAAATACAGTTAAAAACTGGAGAAGAGATTTGCAGAAAAATGTCCCAGTAATCATTTACTTTTTTGTCTACAATCCAGCCACATTAGCCGGGGACAAATGTGGCTGGATTATTCAGACTTCCAAGCATTCGGATGAGGATGGTATTATGTATTACATTATAATTGTACTGATAACAAAGGTTCTTTTCTAAATCATATACACACGTGCAGTACCTCAGTATTTAGATCGGGAGGTAATAACATATTACAACCTATATCATGAAAAATATGGGACACAGCATATGATGCATTTCTATAGAATGAATTTAGGTTAGGATGGAGGCTTTGTGCTATAAATAATGTAATTATATCTGTAGAATATGTAGTTAAGAAGTAAAGATGGGGGTCTATTTATAAATCCAGGACGGTAATAGACTGCGTCGGTCATCGAGATAAAATTATTCTCCTTCTAACATGTACAATTGGACTTACGGCCATGTGGCCAAGGCGTGATAATGCCGAGGCGTCTCGTGTAATCACGGTTACTAGGCCAAGCAATACCCAAATAACCCACGTTTTTCAGAACGTGCACTCTGTAAATACCAGTATATATGCTAAATCATGGCATGATAGATAGTTAGGTATAACATAACATATGATAATATGACATGGTCAAGACACACATGGTCATCCATGTTATACATTAAGATTGGCACTGGTATTTCTCAGTAAAATTCGAAAATACTAATGCTATTGTAGGTTGCATTATAACATATAGCTTATATTGTCTTAAAGCATATTGCCCTCTTTGACCTAGTTCTTAGACAAAGATAAAAGCTCTGATCGAGGTCAAAGTATCCACGTGGTGCATTAGGTTCGAATCATGGAAATCACGCCATCTAAGCATGGTAGCTATCTCCATCTTTATTTCAACAAGAGCGTACGTTAACATTTGTATTTATAGTAACATGAGCAATGTATGTATGTGAAAATAATAATAAAAATAATAAACAAAACATTTAGGAAATGTGTAAGTCTTGTGAAAGGATATAGAATTTCATAGTACGCTTGCACTGTAAAAACGCTTGTCAACAACATCGTCATTACAAAAATGAAATCAATACATCCTCAGCTGACCGACATACCAGAACACGTGGTAGATGTAAACAAACCAGTCTGACCTTCGCGAAACATACACAAACGGAAATAACCAATCAGAACGCAAGGAATGAAGTAGGTCGAAGTTCAACAGTTGAATTGATTCATAGTATATAAACACGACTGCACATGTGTAGAAAACATAACAGAAGAAAACTACCTGAAGAATTAAGTTAGCTTTGACATTGGTTTTAAATCAACGTACGACATGAGGGTACATTTTAACAATAACAACGGAGAGGAGGAGTACTTTTCAGGTATTTTACTAAAGCTGTGCTTTATATACTTATATATATTTTTGCCGTCAAATATTTCCGCAAAAAACGCGCATATAGAAAATGTTGTTTAATCATTAACATTTAATTACTTCTACTTCTACAAGTGTATGAAACATGATTACTTTTATCGATGTTTTCTGTTCCATTTCAAGTCTGATATTTTTGTTTTACAGACTCCGACTCCACCAGTACGACGAGTAGTGACAGTCCTGTCTGGGACCTGTCTTTCAATGAACAGGTAAGGCACCTTTCATTTTACAAATGCGTTTTGTTTATGCGATAAGCCCTATAGTCATAATGGCTTAACTAGTCAGGGTGTTGGTAAAATTATATGGCAATACCAGTTATGATATAGGTGAGCTGCGTACGTACTCGGAATAATATGTACCCACATTTATACAATGTATGTATATATATATATATATATATATATATAATAAAAAGGGATTAAATGTCCATGTGAAGGAAGTAAATATAGAAAAAATAAGATTAACGACCGACTAAAACACTTTTTTTTTCGAGTTTTTTAGTCGGTCGTTAATCTTATTTTTTCTATATATATATGTATCACTTTTATCGAAATTTGATCACGGAAATATTATATGAATATCAAAGAATATGTTACTATTAAAGACACTTTTTCGGATTTAGATCGAGTTGCATATATGTACATACTTGCCAACTTTTTGAAATTTCCATTGGGAAGATTGGGCATGCTCAAAATTAAAACATAAATAAGATGTGTTTATATACCCCTAGAGACAAATAACCCTTTTAAATAACATATTTTGAGTTGTTCTTTCAGGTGAAATCATTAGATCTTGGATATAGGAACAGTTAATAAAATTCACTTGCTGAAAATACTAAATTTAAGGGTCCAAAATCGGGAGTCACCTCCTAAAAAGGGAGGGTGGCAAGTATGTATATATATTTGATGTTTTAATTAAAAAAATCGAATAACATAGTTTTGTTTCGATCTTGCTTGGCGAATGTAGTATCCCCTTATAACCCTTCGATCGAAATGAATTTTGATGATCTTATAACTGTGCAAAAAAACGTAAACAAACTTCACGCATGCGCCATACATTGGGTTGATAGTATGTCACAAAGCCTAGCCCATTCTACGTTCATAGACTTGACCTACATACAATGTTACCGAGCTTGCTGACATGCTTTCGAGATTGTGCTCTAGATATGCCTCTGGTTGTTTACGGAGACTGGGTCAGCCGGTCAGATGCTTACCATCATGTGTTGGGGTCAGTTGATATGCAACTTTTTACCTTTAATCTATTACACACAGTTAATCTTATATACTGATCTACTTATATATGTGTATACATGTGTGGCTACGTACATGTATACTAGGATATGGATTAGACTACGTATATTACTAGTTTGACCAATGTTAGATATACTTTATATTACTATCAATTGTGAAGTTATCAGTTCTGTTGCACCACTCTAAAGGTCACAGAGAGTTCATTACTGCTCATGGAGTAATGCTTATTCGCTTATCGTATACTTGCTTATAGTTTATCTGTTGTACTTTTCTCTTGTTTGTTCCAAAGTTCAGTCGGAAGTTTGCTTTCTGTGGTAATGTCTGGAACCATTTGAACTTAATCTTGCCAAGATTCGTTAATGTTTTGTTGTAGTAATGTGACTCAACTCTTCTCCTGCTGTTGTTGTTTCTGCTGCTGCTCCTCCTCCAATCCTTCCACTCCTCTTTTTTCATCTTTTTCTTCAACAATCAACACAACAACACGGACATCAACACACAACAAACACACACAAAAAAATAGTGACAATATCATTTAGTCCTGACTCTTTGTCTTCCACAGCCGGAATTCGGTATCCTGTTTGACGTAGATGGAGTGTTAGCGAGGGGAAGTAACCCACTAGACCCAGCCGTACAGGCCGTCAAATTACTGACTGACCCCGAGGGTAACCTACGAGTACCTATTGCCTACGTCACCAACGCCTGTAACAGGAGTCACGACAAGGCTGCTCAGATACAGACCTGGTTCAACATTCCGGTATGTCATATTTTGTTGACACTTCTAGCTTTATATACACAGCATTTATAAGGAACTTAATTAAAAGTTTGCCTATCAAAAAATTGACGTTCAAAAACTTCGAATAATATCATATACTTAATATATTTACAGAGAAACTACACTGTATTATATAACTGTTAATACTTGGCAACTATAATTCAACATTAAACAACTAATTCTACCTCGAAACAGTGATATTCCTTTGATAGTAACTAAAAAAACTACTAGTAAAGTGCTTACATTTACTTAATTATACACAGGTAAGCCCGGACCAGGTGATTCACGCGCCTACACCCGCTCGCCTCCTCACAGAGTACCACGACAAGCATGTGCTAGTGGTAGGACAGGAGTACAGACAGGAGATAGCGAAAGAGTATCCTTTTATAATGCAATTACGTGACCATCATAGAGCATCTTAATTACTTTTTATCAAAATCATCTATGTTTAAATAATATTATTCGTTAAAATTTGAAATTGTTTTATGGATTATCTAGCAACGGAGTGAAAAAACTTATCATTGATAACGGCAAGATGACACTATTATATATCGTATCTGTTACTTTCGCTTTTCAATGTTACTGATGTTTTTACCTTGACCTTGCTAAGCATTGGCTTCTCCAAAACGTGTACGATAGAGGACATCCGGGAGGCATACCCCTTCCTGGACATGGTGGATCATGACAACCGCAAACGAGTGGTAAGTACTAGAACATATAAGTTTCCGTGTATTTACTGTTTTAAGCTGAACAAGTAAACTCGTGTAATCAATTAAATCATTTTTCTGGGTATTTACAATGTTTGTGGATGTGTTGATTCTATTGTATAAGTCGTAGATTATGAATTATAAAAGTTATTACCAGAAAATGACGAGGATGAGAAAATAATTTTAGAATTTAAAGTTTAATTATTTAAATTAACGCTTGTATTATTTGTTCACTCACAGGCTGCTGGTTCCTTCAGTGACAATGTCAACTTTCCAAGAGTTGAAGGTAAGTTCGATGTAGTTTTGCACTGTTGTGTATTTTAACTAAAGTGATTAAAAACTAGATATAAATATATTGCATTATTAAAATATTAAGAATTAAAAAAAAGAATAGATTAATACCTTTGAGTAACAGACATAAAACAACAGTAGTATACGTTTCTCAGCCAAATTGATCTAGGGTATCATAATTGAAAATTGAAATATATTCATCTAAATGTAATGGCGTATCACATATTCAGGTATACCATTTTCTTTTGTAGCCATTCTGATGATCGGGGAGCCTCAGCGATGGGAGTCCTCCCTTCAGCTTCTCATTGACTTACTGCTGACAGAAGGCAAGCCCACATCAGCGCCCACCTCAATCAAAGACGTTCGTCAGTTGCCCATCATCGCCTGCAACATGGATCTCGTCTTCATGGCCGAGGCCTGCATGCCAAGGTTTGGGCACGGGGCGTTCCTCGTTTGTCTGGAGGCCCTCTACAAGGTGAGTAATGTGGAATCAAGTGATCAGTGTCTGCTCTTTTGGCAGATTGAGAATGTTCAGTTTTTTCTTCATTATAGCGTGTACATAATTGTTAGCTAACCTTAAAAATGCTTCAATTTTGTTCATGATGTGATTCTTTGTTATCATTCCTTATATGCTTGTTATTATTCAGAAAGATAATGTATATATATTGTGCTTTCGAAATAAACCTGAAGAGTCCTGTGAAAGGTGAAAGCAGCTTGTTTTTTAGTCGGTCTTTAGATTATATTTATTTATATAATTATATACTTATATTAAGCAATTTTTCGTTTGTAAATGATAATTTGGGACTTTATCATTTACAGAAAATAACAGGACTAGATCTGGACTACACTGCACTGATAGGCAAGCCTTGTGAAATCACCTACAGATATGCGGAGCACACCATTGCTGCTGAGGCCAAGAAAATTGGAATCACTCGACCAATCAAAAAGCTCTATTTCATTGGGTAGGTATACCAACTAGAATAAAAGATATATGTATTAAGGAGACAATAATTACCCGACATGATAAAATAAAAACTACAAGCGAGTCGAGTTCAAAATTGACACCAAAACTACAACACGTGATGTTATAAATAACTAAATATATAACGGTATCTGAAAGATAAATTTATATTTGTTTTATTGTTTATCTACAGAGATAATCCGCAAGTAGACATCGTCGGCGCCAACCTTTATGACCGATTTCTGAAACAAAACAAAAACGGCAACGGACATATACACAAGCCTCTTCCGAGATCAAGGTCCATTCCTTGTAGCGAGCACCTGATGGAGCAAACGGTACTAGCAATGGAGAGTCTACTAGTCGGAACTGGGGTGTACAACGCCGAGAAGGAGTCTAAGAAGACAGACAATGATGACGTATACCACGGACATCGTGACATCATGCACGAGCCAGACCTCGCGAGACCTACACGCTATGTGAAGGACGTTTACCATGGACTTCAACATATACTGGAACAAGAAAACTTTCGCGTGGTGACATGAGCACTCAACAATATAACCTCCTATCGGTTGTGTTGAATCAAGCCGCGGACCACGACATCAAATCCCAAGCGGGTGAACCAAAGAATTGCAATTTGTGATACTGACGTTTAGCTATGTCGCTGAGTTAAACAGAGGCTCGTAGGTCTTAGCGGTGGGACCGGTCCTCTTTATATAGAACGGTCAGATTGACGTCAGCGACATTTGTTGTCTTTAAGTCAATGACTTCTCAGGAAATAAATGTCTTGATGACAAGCAGTATTAACTGCTAACTGTTGATTGTATTCGGAAATCATTTGCCAACGTCTAGTATCTGCGAAGGATAGAATAATATACTGCAATAAAGTGAAATTGCCTTGAACATGTTGCTGCATTGATTCCGCGCTGTTTCTTAAACATGTTGATATTGTGTAACACATAGATCAAACGAAACTCCGAAAATGTTGTCCATTGATTTAATTTTTAATAATCAATACTTAGTAATATGTTAATGTAAATGTATGTTGTCATGGCGACGACCTCTGCCAATAATGAGGTCAGGATTGTGCCAGTTGCATCTCTCTGTTTTGTTCATCGTGTTGTTATATGACGTCACGAAGTACCAAGACAGACCGTTCATTAACGTCAGACCTGTCTCCACTGTGTTCATCTTTATCATTTTTTATCTTATTTATTGGAATATTGGATTAGTCTCATTGTATTTATAAATTTGTTATATTTTTGAAACAAAGATTGATTGATGAATAAAATAATATTTATTTTATCTTTTTTTTAAATTGTTGTTTATAGTGGAAAGGAAGAAACCAGTAAATTTTACAATGGCTGGTACTGTTTAGCTCTGTTTTACACGGCGATGGAATAGTTGAGGCGACTTTCATCACGCAAATCACATTTTGTTTAATCTTTGCTAGTTGTCAACACAGACTTATTAGTAAAACCACAATCAAAGTTATTTGAACTGTGGAGTTAACTAATCAAAGACTTTTTCGATATTTAATGATATTTCCAAAGCTTGTAGAACTTTTGTTAATTTTGTCATGATAAACAAACTATTTGTGATTTTGTTAACAGACGTCATTACGTCCACCCCAAAACCCATGAAACTTCTGTATGGAAAATAAACATCTTCAACGTAATTATGTAATAATAATGTTCTAAACTTAGTAACGCAAGCCGTACAATATCGTGTTAATTGACATAATGATATTGAGAGCTGACGTGCAGGTAAGGCGATAAGGTGTCCTGGAATTCGGTCGGTTTATAATTCATACGTTACATCGACATTACCACTTTGCCATAACAACGCTACGAGAGTGTGTTGATAAACAATGAAGCTGTCAAAAATAAGACCCACAAAGAAGAATATCGTCGTAGCCAGCGATGTAAAGGAGAAGCTGAACATGGTCCAATTGTTCAAAAGATGATCAGCTTAATCATTATTTAACGACATTTTTCAACCAGTAATTTCATGATGTTTAATGAAAGATTTCTGGTACAGGATTTCATACCAGACTCAATACATGGACGTAATAATTAGTAATGATTTGGTCAATGTACAAGGTCAAACCTCTTTATTTGTAGTGTGTCGTTTAACTCGGCCATAATTTTTGCTATCTGGAAAGCTTTAGCTCGGTTTATGGTTGTGTTTTAAAGATATAGGGATATACACAAAACTAATTTTCTGCTGATCACCTTTTGAATAACTGGGCCCAGATGGCCTAAATGTCTACAATGTTAGGCATATGCGATCTGAAGTACTAATACATAAGTAATCAAAGTGATCATCTCCTTTTAAAGGCATGTGAGGATAGCTGACAGGACAGTAAGATAACGCACGAATGTCCAATGACTTTCTTGATTGTAACATCCCTGCTTCCCATATCTACGATGTTTACATGTCGCAGTTGATAAAGTTTTCAAAAGCTTGCCCCAAATATAATGATTTACGCGAAAGATGTCGACTGCTGACAGACATATTAACAACAATGGGTTTCCGTGATAGATGTCGACTGCTGACAGACATATTAACAACATAGGGTTTCCAAAGATGCAGGTTGATAAATAATACGGACAAGTCGCCATCATTATCACTTTGGGAAATATTCAATTTATGTGTATGCTATGTAAAGGTAGGTGCTTTTCTATTATGCTCAACAGTGTTGCTTGTAGTTCCTGGTTACTTCCCCGATTCTCTCTTTTATGACGTGAAATCACATGGATTTGAAATAAATTTATGTAACAGGTGTTCTCAAGGATGTTTATATAACAGGTGTTCTCAAGGAAGTTTTAGACGCTTACCCTTCTTGAACATCAGGTCTTGACCTTCTTGTACTTTTTCAAGAATGTAAATTTTGTTTTTGTTTTGTTCTTACTTTTTCCGTTTTAAGAAAAGCTCTTTTTATTTAGGAAATAATAGACATTAATAAAAAACGTTTACTGACATTGAACCATCTTTGTTTTGAAAACGCGTAATGTTCTGATGACATGCATGAAAATTCATTAAGGTTGCCCTTTTAAAAAAATGCTTTGTGAAAGTGCAACTTAAATAAAAACATGAGGCCTAATCCCAGGGCATTTTCGGTAATTTGAGTTGTAATATACTTTTCATTGTTGAGATATGAATTGGAAAACAATTATGAACAAAAAATACTTCTCATGTCAACAACAACAAAATAAAAACAAACAAAAAGACAATATACAAAAATAAGCAAAACATACACACGAACTAATCACTAGAAGAACGAAGTTAGGAAAACATATTTGATAATTTACTAAATAATTATTAACAAAATAAAGTATGTTGTGTGTAAATAGTAAGTCTCAATGTGAACAATACTGGCCTGATTTCAACAACGACCATTACAAAACAAATTCGGACTCTGCTTTTTCGTTGGAGATACAATACAGAGCACTTGGACTTTGTTCGTTAAGCATGCACAAAGTTTACATTTTATAGCACTTAAATGTAATTTGATCTATAAAAAATAAATGCCCTTAGACCACGTAGACAACAATTAAATACAAACTAATAAATACATTAGTTTACATTAAATTTATGAATTCCAGGGCCCGTATAAACGAAACCGTTCTCCTGCTCAAACAAGCTCAGATTCTGTGCTTATGCCAATCTTCTTGTTACTGTGATAAAGCAATGAAAGTTCTCATTTTGTCAGCGATTTGGAAGTATTTTGAAGAGACTTCTATCTTCTTGGAGCGTTTCACATGATTTATGCAAGTTACAAGAAAGTTGGTTTGGTAAAAGAATCCATACTTAAGCAACAGAACGATTTCATGAACACAGGCCCAGCTATCGATGGTATACTTTACATTAAAGTAAAACCTTCCAGAATGTTATAATACACTATTTCTATGTTTGGCCGTGTTGGAGTGAAAAGGGGATTTCATGGTCGCTGTATTAATAACTTATGTATATATCAACGAGGTAATAACAAAGATATGTAAACTATTATTCAGCGATTCCCAAAACAGATTCAATTATTAAAAATAGAAATCTACAGGACGTTTAAAAAGATATATTTTATAATGATTTATAGCTATGGCTAAAGTTCTTCAATGTTGTTTTGAAGTAAAATGAAGCAGAAGAAACAGAGGAAACAAGTAAAAGCCGATAAAGAATTACCAGGAAGACACTTGATCAAATGATAGAAATCCTGAAACCACACAAAGAGAGAAGGAAACGCCACATGTAGGACCCGTCATTATGTCACCTTTACAACAGTCACCAACGACAAAGACATGGAACAGGCCAATTAAAAGGAAGGCTTGACATTCCCAATAATCTTGTCACAAATCTGGTTTTCTGAAGCGTAGATTAAAAACCTTCCAATAGAAATCACTTCACGAGTAGTAAAATCATCAACGGGACGCACCTGTTCAGCGAAGAGTGTGGAGTAGCATTTCAACTGTAACACGTATAGGCATTGGAAGCCAATATGTTGCTTCTAAGGAAAATAAAGTAAAATTTCGTAATATCGAAAATGTCACGCTTGTCATAAAGTTTTGCGGTAAGGTTACCAGTATAATCATACTGTAGGTAAATGTTAAAAAATGATATGTTAGTAGTTCCCCGAAAATACAATTCTTCTAAGAAAAAACTCACTAAAATATTTGCATGTGCAATAAAATGGTCGAACAAGTTCGTAAAAACTAGTTGGTTTGAAATGGTCGATTCAAGGTTCACTGAAAGGTCTTCTAAGGCTGTCAAAGGTCAACACTTCATTGGTGCCTCTTCGTGAAAAAACAGTTAAGTACATCTAGTAAAATCCGTTTAGTTTGGTGATAAAGAATATGAGGAAAGTTTAGGATCGAACCAGGATGGTTTGTAAAAACTAGACGCCAATAGCAACATGATTCCACGTTATTCCACGAGGGTCATATAGTATATAATAAAGAAACAAATTCTTGTGAAGGAAAATGTAGAATAAAATTATAAGTATCCAAGATAAACCGCAAGGCCTTTCTGCCTTCTAGGGCTTCTTTAGACAGACTATATATATCTATAGTATGAAGAAACTCCTTTAATTGACGAGATGAAAGTATTGTTTGGATGCATATTACTTAAAAAGAATATAGGCAAAGAAATAATAACGCAGTGCAGACAAAGATAATTGTCAAATTTGACCTTTCAATATATGCATATTTATATTACCTTTCTGTAAATACTGCCGAAACATATATGAATTCTTTTGGGAGCTATTGTGGAGCGGGTTCAATTGTCGCGTCAGCGTTTTTCTTGGAAAGTTTCACTGCCCTACAATGTGGTCCATGTGTCCATCCAGAAGTTAATTCTTTCTTTGCACTTTTGACCTCTGCCACACTATGACATCCGGTTACCATCATACTTCCTTTGTGTTATTTACATCAGCATTTACGTTAGGTCAACCCTTTCACCCCTAGGTAACTTGAGTAGAATCTACCATAAATTCATCCGGATGAGTCCACTTTAGTCTACAGTGGTGAGAGAGTTAAGATCTATGGTAAGTTAGGACACACTATATATAATTATAGCTGATTGCAAAGGCTCAATTTTTTTAATAATTTAAATAATTTGAATGTTGTGTTAAATTTAGAAATAGTTCTGTTTGGCAATTCACATTTTTTTCCGTGGATCTTAACTATGTTTTTTTTTTTAGATATGTGCACAACTTTATTAAGTCCAGCAAGAGATTTTGAGCTCAAATTGTAAATACAATTGTGCATATTCTTATTGTCATTATAGTGATGTATATATATTTGGAGAAGGCGTTGATAAGTTATTATAACTTGTGCCTAATCCCTTGTCTACTTTCGGCAATAAACATGTTTAAACTACATTGCAAAGGTGATATTAAATGTGTTTCTTGAGACCTTATAACATTTTCAAAAACTATATAAGATGTATATAATAAAATAGTCAATTATTATTTACGTATTCGTTATATTTGCCCACGGTTCAATATCTAGGTGAACACCTGCGAGATAGCATACGAAATGTTTGTCCACCCTCTGTCTTAACCCTAGGTATGATAGATAACCGATGTCTTACGTATTAACAGATAAAAAAACCAGCCGGCATGATATGTGGGACAACACAGTTTACAGCCTTCTACATAACAACAACAACAATGGTCCAACTAGGTCAGTGTTCAACGAGCCTAGTTCTGGACGTTTGGTTACACTGACCGTGTTCACGTGTCAAGTAAGTTGAAAACATCGCCATTTTGTTCACGAGTTCTGTATAATACTCTATATGTTGTCACATAACACGATGTCAAGATTCACCCTACGTTTTTAAACAGGTAGCTACTTGTTCTCGTCAATTCGTTAAGAGACATGATATTGCTTTGTCCAATTCGTACTATACACCATAAAATTTTTTTTTTTCAATTTGAAAAACGACATCATGCCGGAAAATTAGCTTACGTTATGTCACCCCTATTAATATACATGGAGAGTGTTCTATTCCCTAGACCCTTTTGTACACACTTATGCTGCATATAACGGTTTATGTTGGGTAGAAGTTTGATTCTGCCTCGTTCCTTCCCTCAATTATAGACATACACTCGTGGGTTCTAAAGGACAAATGCTAATAAATATCACGTGTGACGAAAGCTTCCGCTTCCAGATTACGTTGGAATTCCGGATGGTTTCAATCCTGCTATGGTTTTCCTCAGGTGCGGTTATCTTGTTGTATATATATTATCAGAATGTTACTGTATTTAAACTATTTAAATCGGACGCTATATATGCAAGGCGAATGGGTTTCTTGTTGGAGCAGGTAAAATCCCAGAATAGAAATCTCTGAGGCTCTGGAATAAAACAGGTAAAAACTATTTTTCATCTTAACCCCCCCACCCCCCACCCCCTATTTTGCTGGTCATTTCATTACTCGTTTTGAATAAGCCTTCATGGCAGTCAATTTTCGTATATATAATGGTTTATGATTGCAATTGCATATTTTTCAATTTATTGAATGTGAAGTTATATAACACAAAACTCAATTTTGTCTTCATTCTCATAAAAAATGAGACAATCGAGAATAGTACTATATTCCACAGGCCAACGGAGCAAGTCGAAGATTTTTCTCAGCTTGATGTACTATTTCAAGTCACGATCGAGTCGAGATTCCCTTCCTGCTTCTTACACCCCTGAAGTTGTTTTGCTGATTAATGTTATTACAGAGTCGCCTGTTTGTGTACGATCGTGCGATATAGCGTGATGTGATCGAAGTCCAGTTGACTGCGATAACGTTACAAATCACACCACCATTTAACGTTAATATTGAGCCGAATCTCACTTAACCTGCCATTGTGCTAAAATGCCAGGTATGCTGATTCGTGGAGGCCCATAGGATCTATCGAACTGTTATATCAATCTCGGACTTCATGGTGTGTGTCTCGGGTACCTGTTTAGGATGAACTGGCGGTAAGCAGTGTATGTCAATCCTCACCTATATAAATAAACACAGACATCATGTGATCGGAATTCACTATTTGCTATATGTATCAGGATTTTCTATGTTGTTTTGGCGAAAAGATATCGTAAACTGGATGGTCTACCAAAAAGGGTTCAATCTACGCTAAGGGTATTTTGTAGTAATGTCCAAAAACGTTGATCTCAGTGTCTGTTATAGTTAACGATAGGTTCAAGGTGTCTGAGATTGATGTTTCCCTGGATGTTACAGGAGAAACCATGGTGGCCACAGATTTCATGTTTTACGTTTTATTTTAGTTTCTTTTTGTCTTTCATTGTCAACCTTCTGATCCACATTTTAACGGATGAGTTGACGCTGTGATGATTTTTTTAAGGTAAACATCATCCGTTGAAATAACGACGACATCAAGTTTTGTTTAAAATACCAATGCAATTAAATTGCTGTATTTTAGTATTCTTATTTACTTTCTTGTTTAATTTGACATAATATTTGTTTTCCACATTCTGCTCTTTTACCCTTCAGGTAATTTGTGATCATCAAAATGACCGCCATTATGGAGGGCACCACTTATGAACAAACGTCACTTCCTAATTGGACACAAGACGCCATGAACACTACTACAAATGGAACCATGACAACCACCGTCACTCCTCCACTTCCCGAAGTACACCATGATCTCATGTGGCTTGTTCCAACACTGTTCGGCATGGCGTTCTTCCTGTTGGGAATGGCCTGGTTCCTTTTCTATTGTATCAAAAAGTGTGAACTTGCTACCATTGCATTCTGTTACAGAAAGTTTGGTCTGTGTCCGCCGGACAAACGAAGTAAAATGTTGTACAACTCACTCGGGGAGGACCACGATACAGATTCAGATACGCTTTATCTAAGGGGTACGTTGTTGATAGCGATGACCAGCTATTCACGGCTGTTTATGTCTCCGAGAATGTATATTATATTTCTTATCATGTCACACCCGACGTTTTATGCCTATCGCATATATATATATATATATATATATATATATATATCATCACATAATCACCTGTTTATAAATTTCAATCGGTTTATCTCTAACATATGATTCTATTATTACTTTATTAATATATCACGACTGGATGCCCGCACATGACTAATAGGGTCTATCATATGTAGGTATGTAGGTATTATTCTATACGAGGGTGTAGAATTTTGGTCAGAACCAAGGTTTTGCTGAGGGTCTCACAAGAAATTGTTCACCCGAGGGTTGAATTTTCATACCCCCAAACTTACATGATGATTGACCGTTTTTCTCCCACTTCTTACACGAAATGGTAAAACACAACGTAGACAATACAAATGTAACACTAAATAAAACACAATTTCAAATAGCATGTAGGAGACAAGGCAATATTTTGAAAGAAAAGAAAAAGGACGGAACACCGAAAGTATACCTCAAATATAAGGATCCATGCATTTCTTTCAGTGCACTAATACTTATATATTTGTGAGGGTGGTGTCATTTGCTGGCAGCAAGATCGCCATAGCCAGTGAAACGTCGTTTTGACGGTCTGTCTTTAGTATGACGTCACAATATAACCCTGTTATCTCATTGTGACGTCATAATAGTAAGAGTTATACATTTTTGGGGATACACGTATCATCACACATGACTGTTTCGTATGGGACAAATATATCGTTCATATGTAGAAGTGGTAGAATGATTCAGGCTAAAACATTTTTAGGAATTCCTCTTCATTCTGTACAGACAAGCCTCTGTATATCAGCTATGCTAATAAAGTTATCCCATTACCCCGCAAGTGCTTGGAGGACTGATGGCACATTTTATTTTCAAAATTGACCAATCTAGAAGTTTCACAAACTTACCACTTTATATGGAAAAGGTAGCTTGTTTACGAGGCTCAACTGATGAAAGACGTCTGTATTATTGAATGATTGCATAGCAAAATACAGACAACACAAAAGTAACATAATATCAATTTGATGCTAATGTTCATTCTTAATAAATTCATGTCAACAGCTGGCACGTTCTATGAATGTTGTCTTTGAGCACAAAATGCACCAACACTTCAAAAAGACTGTTTTTCCATTGCCTGTCCCTTACATACATCGTGGTGTTTACACCCACTTGCCATTGAGAGTCACACCGGTAGAATTTCTGCTGCACTTTTCATGAAAATGAAATAAAAGTAGGGTAGATATTAATGCTTTATCCTGTCGAGGCGTTGTTCATGTTGCAAACTTGTGGTACGAAAGACAGTATTTGGAGGCACTGTTTTGTATCAATGGTAGGACCTACAATGCACCATACCCTTTTCACTCTTTTGACCTTACGCACCACCGTGAGTTCTAAATGGATGACACGGCCAAATGGTACAGTATCTGTTGATTTTGTTTGGCTTTCTGCATCTATAAACAAGTGTTTGGCTAGGTGTTTCCTGTCTTCTTGTATCTAATGGCTTTAGAGACCGTCTTGTATCATTGTTTTCATTGGCATTCCAGGTAAGTTGTTCACTGTGACCCCGAAGGATGAAAGCACGTACCCGGGGGTCCGGATTTCCATGCCAAACTACTCCACAATGTCCCAAGTGCCCGAACTTATCCTCGACGGACGGGTCCTCAAACCTCCGCCTCCTAAGACAGTCCAGTGAATAGGTACGGAATTAGGGGTTAGCTACTCGGTCAACATAAGTCCGTTCTACAACGTTGTGTCTGGCGTATTCAGACCACCCTGACTTCTATTACTTGTGACCAACTTGAAATCCACCTTTTATTATTTGCCATTTACATATCATATTTGATAAGAACTTCTTTAGTGTTCTGTTGTTATTAAACGCATATAATCAATCAAAACAGCTTTTACACGTCACTATTGTCTATGTATGTGCCCTAGTTTACACTCACCTCCTAAGCTAGAAAAACAAACCTTTGCCTGCAAATCCCCCAAAATTCCCATTTTGTTCTGCAAGAATATGCAAATTGCACGTTACATTTAGCAACAAAATATTTAGCAACTTTAGTTGCTTATAACATAAACTAAGGTATATTTCTTCTCCTTTTTGCAGATGTGACACCAAAGACGATACAGCATGCTTCTACATCAGAGGTCGAGTCCGGCACAGTCGCGTAACCACCGTTTTGTTTAGGAGGACATGTTTCAAGTCATAGTTTACTCAAATGGAATTTTGTGTTCATGAAGTTCACTTGCTATGAATTCACACACAAACGATATAGACGGTGTGTTTCTCGCGTGCTTTCATTCGCTTCATTGTTTGGACAAAACATGACAGGAGGACGTCCAACCCTTGAAGTGGAGAGCATATTCAAGTTAAAAGTTCAGGCGTGCTTCAATGGAACAATGTCTCAGAAATTTACCTGTTATGCCTTCAAACTCAACCGATATATATATCTTCGATACATATAAATGTTTTCCTTTGTTTGGACAAAACATGACATGGAGAACGATCATTGACGCGGAGGATACATTTCAAGTCGAAAGTCCAGATGTTCTCAAATGGAACAGTGTTTCAGAAATTCTCTTGTTATGTCCTCACCGATATAGACGGTGTTTTCTCGGGCGTTTGCTTATTTCTTTTGACGTTTCATTTGGACGTAACGACCCTTGCAGTTGAGGACATGTTTAAACGTTTGTCCATGTGTGCTGAAATGGGATTTTGTGTCATGGTGTTTTCCCATGTTTTCGTTTCCTTTGACAAGACAAAGGGACACCCGACCCTTAAAGTGGAGGACACGTTTAAAGTCAAAAGTCCAAGCGTGCTCAAATGCAACACTATTTCAAAATTTAACTCATTATGCTTTGAGACTCCATCGATATTGACGATTATTTTCCCGTGCTTTTGTCTCTGTTCGGCATGACAAGGGTAGGTCCTATCCTTGACACGTTTCAACTCATAACAAATGAAAGTGTTTAAGGAATTCATCTGCTGTGCCTTCACACATGACCGATATAGACAGTGCGTTTCTCCCGTTCTTTAGACAAAAACATTACCTTGGAACATAATTATGTTCGTTTTGCATCGTCTGGTGGAAGAATAAATGGTGAGGAGGGTAATGTTGTCTGTGTATTAGAACAATGGTGTTGAATGTCCATAGCTCATGACCTGGTTTGTGATCTGAACACACCTGCAGTGACGTCCGTATGGTAGGACATACCCGTGCTGAGCTCGATTCATCGTTTTCTTGTCTCTTACAGCTGCTTCACGTGTGATGTGACCCTTACTTTTATCTGGACGTACCAGACACTTGCTACGTTGGTATGTCGCCATGTGATGTCGCTTCCTGTATATTTCACTTGCTCATGTCCAATAATTGTTAAAATGGTATCAATAAGGTTATTAACATGGTTGACATGCTTGTTAACATATCAGATAGGGTTCATAATGAGGACTTGAAACACACTTTATTATTTGTATTTATTGTTTTATTTTAAACTTCATGAACAGCGTTTGAAACTATTTAATAATTTTCAAGAATTCATAAAAATCTATAATAGTAATGAGCAAATGAAACGAAGGGGTATTAAATATTTGTTTGCCAGTATCTGTAAAACGTTGCTATGAGCACATATGTTAAGGCTGGCAAAATAGATCAGATTGGCTACACGAAAAGCTTGCCATCGTTTATCTCCAACGATTTCCATTTTTTCATTTGTTTCATCATTAAAAATAAATTGGCCTACATTTTATATTATATTAATTACCATTGTAAAGAATTTGACATGTCATAATTGTTTTTTTCAGTTGAATAACAGCAACCATGGGAATTTAAACGGGTGTAATAAAACAATAGATGGGACTTTACCTAAGCGTTTTAAATCTTGCCGTTGAGTAACCAATAAAGTTAAATATATAACTTACAAAATATTCTTTGGTATCTTCCTTCAATATCACAAGGATCTGACGTGTTCAAACAAATATCAAGTTAATGAAGGTACGAGGAGAAAAGCATCTCTCCTTTTACATATTTCGTTTCCATAATACATTAACTTCCGATTTTGACAACATACCGACCAACACTCTTCATCACAAGAACGTGTTCGTGTGTTCGTTGTATCTTAACCACTTAAGTTAAATAATATGAATATATAAAAGTTAATGCATTATAAATATCCATCAAAAGTTTTCGCTACAAGGTGAATATAGTGATCTAGTACGATAAAGTTTATATTTTGTCACCTTCATTACTCCAGGGGTTACGCTCAGTTTCGCTCTCTGCATCCCTAGGATATGTCATAGCAAAATTGAAGGAACAAAGATAGCTTATTGATTAGTCTCAGTTAAAAACCCTTGACCAATCATTACGCTGATACCTGTCCATTGGAGATTACAAAGGAGCGACACCGAACTTCAAAGCCAAAACTTTATAATCATGAAAATGATTCGTATCGATATAGTAGCTCGATAACGCACATTTCATATCAATATTTCAACAAAACTAAAAGTCATACCGAATCTATTGTAAAATATATCGACAACTTTGATTGTTTTCTTAAACACATTATGTAATATCAACTAAAACAACACGAAGTCAACATCAGGTGAATAGTTATCTAGGATGATAAAGAGTGAAAGATAACTGATTTTGATAACTCCGGTACAGAGATGGAGTTCAGAACGTGCTTACACTGCAAATTTCTCTAGCACAACTCCAACCTGATATCACACCTGCATGTATATTAACAATTAGAGATATCAAAGTGGGATATTGTCAATAACTTTTTTGTTTAAATACTTAACCACATGTAATATTCGTATACATCGGTTCTGTGAAATTATATATGAACAAATAAAATCAATAATGTTTTTAAAATGCTTTGTTTTTGTTTATAATTGTATGTCCTCGTATCGTCATGTGAAGACGGGGAACAACATGCAGTCATTAAGATAAACAAATACCGGAAACACACTTATAGGTAATTAAAACCGGAAACACACTTATAGGTAATTAAAAGTAAATATCATTCCGATTTTAGCTTTACGATATTGATGCAAGGTGAAATATCTTTTTTTATTGTATTCGTTTATAATGATCTAAATAAAGTGTTTTAGCTTTACGATATTGATGTAAGGTGAAATACATTTTTTTATTGTATTCGTTTATAATGATCTAAATGAAGTGTTTTAGCTTTACGATATTGATGTAAGGTGAAATGCATTTTTTTTTATTGTATTCGTTTATAATGATCTAAATGAAGTGTTTTAAAATACAATGTATCTTATTGCAACGATCCCAGTGAATCATAATAAATACATACATTAAAAATTCACACCAGTTATGTATTATTCTTTCCCGACTATACATAATATTACTGCCAAAATGAAACAAAGGTACGTCACTGTCACACATATTTCAACATGAAACAAGACAACTGTTGATAATGTACCATTGTGTAGTATTATAACACAGAAATCTCTAATAGTTAAAAGACAACGGTACGGTGGAGATGATGTCAGTTTCCACATTCCCAGGTTTTTTCAATCGGGGATATGTGTGATCGGCTTGATATAAATGAACAAACAAATCAAAATCAATTGTGTTGTTTAACCTATTGCAATATGCTATCAAAGGTTATGTATTGTTATGTACATTTTAATTATTTTGTTCAATTATAAAATGTTTTACTTTTCTTTTCCGTGTATTTATTATGACGCAATATGTTGTGGATTTTTTTAATGTTATCGTTTTTGAGGTATTTTGTTTATCATTTGTAACCATTTAAACTGTGATATTACAACAAAACGCCAGTTGCCTAACCTACTAACCCGTGATAGATGAAAATTAACATGCAAAATACCATTTGGATTTTATAAAATGAACTGTTTGTAAATCGGCCACCTCAGGTAGTGAATAGTGTCAATTCAAACAAAACAGTGTAATCCTATATTAAGAATGTTGGGTGATCTGGTGGTGCTGTGGATAGCGCACTTGCCTTTCACCAAGGCGGACGGGGTTCCATTCTCCGATCGAACGTGAAAAGGTATGGTGTCACCTGCCCGACTACGTGGGTTTTCTCCCGGTATTCCGGTTTCCTCATACAATAAGACCCCCGCGCGCTAACATCCGGGCCAAGAGGGATTAATATAAGTTGAAATAACTTGTTTCATAATTGTTGTAAAAGAAATAAAGTTAATAAGAATCACTTCAATAACCAACCACACACTGACGATACCTTTATGGACTTTGTTCGAATTGTATGGGATAGGAGGTAAATCAAGCGATAGCTAATACTGATATCATGGCACAATGATATTTCAGAATTCAGGGCTAGGTAGGTCGGGTGAGTTTGATTGATAGTTCAGAAGGTTGTTGGTGGTCAGAGAGGGTTAGGCAGAATGTGTATGTCATATAAGATTATCGAGGCAAGCGTATGGAAGGTATTTGGATTTGACATAGATTTACATGACAGGTGTCATCGATGAAGCCTAAGACGCTTAACCTTCCGGAACACTTGGTCTTAGTCTCCTCGTACCTTTTCAATGGTCTCCATGTAAACATATTTTGCCCTAGTCAATAGATTTTGAGTTCGAATAACAGATTTATTGACACTCATTTTTTTTCCTTGCAACTAATTATGACCGTTGAAGTGGATAATGAGTGCATTAGACTGGATAATCGCGATAGTTTTCTGTACGTTGGGGAGAAGGTTGAAACAGGTGTTAATTGTCTTAGATAGAACCTTTAAGAGGTAGAAGTGATAGCGATTTTGAAGGGGTTGAGTCCACGAATTACATAATGTAGGACTATAACGAGTGTCAAGGAGAGAACGCAGAAGCTTAGAGGGATACAGGTAGGGTTATGGTAGGCCAGTGGAAACTTAGAGGGATACAGGTAGGGTTATGGTGGGCCAGTGGAAGCTTAGAGGGATACAGGTAGGGTTATGGTAGGCCAGTGGAAACTTAGAGGGATACAGGTAGGGTTATGGTAGGCCAGTGGAAACTTAGAGGGATACAGGTAGGGTTATGGTGGGCCAGTGGAAGGTTAGAGGGATACAGGTAGGGTTATGGTGGGCCAGTGGAAGCTTAGAGGGGTACAGGTAGGGTTATGGTGGGCCAGTGGAAGCTTAGAGGGATACAGGTAGGGTTATGGTAGGCCATTGAAGAGTGTTTTAGGTATAGGTATTGTCAGAGGAATGGTAACGGTAGGCGAGTGCCCTGCTTTAACTAACGGTAGGTGAGTATTGGCGACTGTTCCTGCTACTGTAAATAAGACTTGCTAAGTTTGGAAATGGTAGGTGGATTAGGGGTAATTTTAAGTATGGTAAGGGAAGGTGAGCATGGAGTACTTTTCCTGTGTGTTGGTATTGCTAGGCATGATAAGGGTCGACCAGTGTGTGGTACTGTTAGGGGTCGACGAGTGAGTTACAGTTCCTTGTAATAGTTAATCAATTATGACTGGATAGAATGTCTGACTCACATTGTGGTTGAGATCAGAGTACAGACGTTGTGGTCTGTAGCATACTACGTAGTAGACCTAGTACAGTGAAACAACCGTCCCAGTACAAAGTGTACAGCTCAATTACGGCTAAATGCCAAGGGTCAGTCCGATAATCGTCTGTTTAAAATGGATATTTTTTCGGTGACAATTCTTCATCAGAGCTAATACGCTACAGGAACAATCCCTACTGACAGTCCCTATCAAAGTCTATTATACACTAGCTCACCTCAGAAACACAACCAAAGGTATCCTTGACCTATAACCTCTGAACTTTTACCCTGCCACATGTTTAGATATTATATGATTGAGATAACAATTAAATAGTTTTCTTACCTACGTACTTACAGGTGACACAGTCAGCAGTTCTGTGCGTATGGGGGTGGTTTTAAGGCTAACAGCGCACAAATGGAGACAATCATAGTTGGAAGATTTGAAAATGCATCTGACCCATTTCAAATACAGAACAAAAGGCACAGTGGGACTGTATTACTCCCTTGTTATTCAGTATTAATTGTTGGCAAATATATTTCGAATCTGTGACCTACTGTAACAAAGTGTGTCAAGGTCATATTTACTTACACCAACTTGACAGCATGCTAACTAACTCTACAGACAAAATATCAGTACTAACCACCTAATGGATATATCTTGGAAGATTTTAATTACCAAGGTCATTTATCTTACCAGAATTGATAGAGTATTATCCCAGTCAAACCTTACTTCTGTAGGCTTACTACTCTTAAGGACTGACCTTATCAAAAAAATATTCAAAGTTTTCCCTACATGTAACCCAGAAAGACGGTCAAGGTCATGGAGCAAGCCACACTAAAAAGCATTTCATTGACCTAATGAATCTTTGAGAAGTTTTAATTGTTTTAATTATTTTTACACATGACCACTCTAAGTTAAGAGTATGCCCTGGAAAGTAGGTCATGGCCATTCAATTGAGCAAAGTTAGAGGGTGGTTGGGTGGTGCAGTGGATAGCGCACTTGCCTTTCACCAAGGCGGCCTGGGTTCTATTCCCTGATCGGACATGAAAAGGTTGGGGTCACCTGGCCGAACACGGGGGTTTTCTCCAGGTACTCCAGTTTCCTCCCACACTAAGACTCTCGCGCCTATATCCGGGCCAACAAGAGTGATTAATATAAGTTGAAATAACTTGTTTCATAATTGTTGTAAAATAAATAAAGTTCATATCTTTAATTGAGCAAAGTTGATGATTTCTTTGGCATAGTATCCTACAAGCCAATTATCATGATCCTAGGCATGTTGGTTATTCAGGAGATACAACTTCCCAAAGGAATCACCCACTATTGAAATAACATTGAATGTTGGTGGTACAGTAGTGAATATAGATTTGTTTTTTTGTTTTTGTGTGTTTTCAAGAGGATCATGTACATGAAGTTGTAACATGATATTTGAAGGTTTGTTCTGTGCTAGATTTTCTGATTTGAAAATCTTTGTATAGCAGTAACGAAATCCAAGATGGCTGCCTGGCAGCTATTTTTCCTGATTCCCAGAATGTAAAGATGGCACAATTAGGGACTACTGGTACAACACAATAGTTCTGTCATAACCTCTAAAGGAGTTCCAGAAAAACTGCAGTAAAAAACCTTTACAAGCATTATCAATACAAAATCCAAGATGGCACAACTAAAAACTAAGAGGATATCATTTGTACCATGTTTCGTCATGATCCCTTCAATAGTTCCTGAGAAATATAAGTATCAAACTGGACACACAAAATCAAAGATGGCTGCCTAGTGGGAGTTTTGTTTTTATCTAACTCAAATGGGAGCATCAGTCAGTTCAATCCATGATCCATTAAATAATTTTCGAGAAATTGTGGAAACAAAATTTGTTCATAGAGGAACTGAATGATGAGCAGGTGCCAGGTAATGAATGAAAAGGATTTGAACAAGCTACAATCTGATGAAGTTGGGATAAAAAGCAGCTGCTTGACAGATGACAGCCTCATGGATGCTGTGCCATGGAATAAGCTGACAGGCTTTGTGCCAGGTAAGATAAACATTGAATCAACAAACAGTGTAATTTCTATCAGGTTCTTTATTATGACAAATATTTAATAATTGTATTCGAAATCAACTTTTAAATGCTCGGAACATTTATTCCAATAAAAACACAAATTTTGTTTATTTTTTCATATTAAGTTCATATTTTCCTTTCCTGTGTATTTTCTTTTATACATTTTTACCGTTAATTCTTATGATATTATACTCTTCTCCTTTAAACGATGTCACTAATTGAATAGTCTATTCCTGAATTTATGCTCACCCCTTTCCCCAAGAATCCCTTTTCTAACAGTATGAACAATCTATTACTAACAATAACATCATTTATTGATACAT